AAAATTCATATTTTCTAAACAAAAATATGAAATTAGATTTAATTAATATCTTTTTTTTTGAGAGTATAACATTAATATGAACAAAGATATTTATCATCAAAGTTACAAAAAATATAAAAAAATCTCGGAAGCTTTTGACTCTACCTACGTTTTGAAAAGGAAAAGTTGCATTAAATTAATGAATGACAGTCAATCAAAAGCTTCGAGCCAACAAAAGAAATTCCATTCACGACGCAACAACAAAATGTAGCTTTGTAACGATCTATCCTAAACAAAAAAGAAGGCAATAATCATGGTAATGGAATAATCAGTTCAAAAATACGGCACAATACAATTTTTCAAAATAATAACACTAACTTTACGGAATTTACCGCCCAAAAAAAATTATCGAGCAATAACGAAATTATGGTCGAGTCACGACTTACATTTTCGATACGTGTTTTAACGTTCATTTCATTAATAAGAAGTAGGGATGTGGAAAAATATCGATTTATAAAAATATCGATATTATTCAGTATTAGAATTGTTTTTTTTTTAATTAGCGAAATTAATTAATGGTTTCAATTATCATTGTATCCGTAGAGAAAGCCTAATAATTAGCTTATAAAACAATAAACGTTTTATTTATAAACACAAATTCTCTTGACGGATGATAATCAGTGGCCAAAATGACATTAGTCGCAAATTTTGATGTATAGTTAAGTTAGTGGCAAAAGTTAAAAGTTTGTTAATATTTTCTACTAATTGAAATTTACCACCACTAATTTTGGCGTTCTGAATGCTTATATTAAAATTAGATAAACAAACATCTTCTCTAATTGAAACCACTAATTTATTCCACCAATTGCAAAGTTCTTAAACTTTTTGATAATTGACATTATTTTGATTAATGGGCGCTACTTTAATTGTATCAACTTTGAACATAACTCCATTATGATAATATTAAAATGATTTAAATTCGGTATATCGAAATATAAATCGAATATATCGAGAACGATTCTTTATCAATCGACATTTTCTCTTTGGACGCACATCCCTACTAAAAAGAGATCGTAAAGACGTTAATAAGATTGGAATTTATAAAATTGATACCTAAGGAAGACGGATGAGAGCAAACTGGTCCATATTTAGGTTGAAAATTTTAGTCAATTATTACTAGAAATAGGTACGTTCTGCAATAACTTGTTTTTTCTATTAATATGTATGCCTTAGATACTTACGAAAATATATCAGCTCATATCCAACAAAAAATAACTTAAACACAATAAATATTAATAAGAAAAATGTTAAAACATGCAATTTCATGCTCTAGTTGTAAAGTTTATTAAAGATCGTACTGTATTTAACATAACATGTAGTACTGAAATATTCTATTAATGGAACTATTACAGATTTCTAGTGTTGTAGCAAATAAGCTTCCTAAAGAAGTTATTACAGTCCTCGATAGAGTAAATAAAAATATTATTTTTTTTTGTTTTTAAGAACTTTGGTAAACCGTTTTACTTGAAATTTTGTACTCTTACACTCTTAAGGTTGTAACTCACTATTAGCATTTAACTAAGGTTGTAACTCACTAGAGCATTTTGCTCCGAACGAACCAAACGAGCCGAGCGCGCAGAGCCAAATTCGGCAAGTGAATACGTGTTTTCACCGAACCGAGCGCGCCAAACATTTTCGCCGGCTTGTCGGTTCACGCATTTTGCTCAAAGAGGATGCGTTGTTCAGTGCTATTCGGAGCATTCGCGGCTAAACATTTTCATTGTTTTGATTTTTCTTTGCTCAAACGAAATGGAGTGGAATAGAGAAAAGTGCCTTCAGTTAATAGACATTTATGAACAATATTCAATGCTTTGTGATGGATTATACTATAATAAAGTTAAGAAATTTGATGCGTGAAGGCAGATAGATGAGATCATGGGATGTGCTTCTGGAGAAGCAACGAAAAAAATTGAAAGTCTTCTGGCAAGTTTCAGAAGGGAGAAGGCGAAAGGAAAAAAATCTATTGTAACGGGAAAAGGTACATTTTCACAAATTATAACGAATATAACAATAAAGCTTGTTTTTTTTAATGGAAAGATTTGGCAAATATCACATGATTTCTAACCTAGCTGTAAAGAAGAAATCACGTGAAAAATCTACATTTAGAGATTCAAAGCGCGAATAAAAATTAAATACAACTGAACGTGGGAACACAACGAACGCAACAAGCACTCTGAACATCGCGATCTTTTCCTTACCGAGTTCGTTCGTGCGCGCTCGGCTCGCTTGGTTCGTTCGAACCAAAATGCTCTAGTGAGTACGCACCTTTACACACATTTTAGTGCCAAAGCGAATGGCGATAGTGTAAAATTGTAACAGCCCTGAAAGGGTATTTTTCATTAGGATAGAGAGTACTACTTGTGGTACTTCCTTTATCCTTATAGGTACAGTCAGAGCTGCAAAAAAAAAATTGCGTTTAAAGGTTAAAATGCGTCGGTTTTAGTATTAGAAGGGTATTAGCGAAATGATAAAATGTAAAGAAATTATAAATAAATTATTAATTTCAATATTTCGCTAGTACTAAAATGAACGCGTCGTAACCGTTAAACGCAGATATCTTGAAAACCGTTCACCGTTTCGAACTAAACGAAGAGCACCTTTCTTAAGTCCAAGCTTTTTATGTCACTTGTTGAAATTACTGTATGCATAAGGATAAAAAAGTACCAGTAGTAGTACTCTCTACCCTAAAGGAACGTGTCCTTTCAGCTTTCAGGGCTGTTACGTAATTCTACACTATCTCAATTCGCTTTGGCATTAAACATTTCTCTAATGGTACCAAATTTCAAGATAAACTGTTCATTAATGTTTTCAATAATAAACAATATACAGGGTTGTTCACCACATACGACACGGAGTATTGTAGCTAAACGATTATATTTTTACAAATTGTAAGTTTTGGGTTCGTTGGAGGACTATTAGAGCTACAATTTAAAACTATTTTTACAAGAAACAGAGTGTCCCAAATAAATAAAAAATATCAAAGTTGTATTTTTTTTAAATGGAACACCTTGTATATTATTGCATTTTTAGTTTCTACGATTAAAATAAAGGTAAATTTGATTAATGTTTATTACACTTAAACCTTACCGTTTTTGAAATATTTTCAATTTTGCGAAATTGCAGTATAAATTTTAAGGCTTCATTTCTCCAAGGGTATCAGAGTTTTTAATACTAAATATTTACTGAAGTTTATCTATTGATCAGTTATTGTGTTGCAATAATAAAAATTATACTACCTTATACAGAGTGTCTAAAAATTTATTTTAAATAATTACTAGCTTTGAAAGGCAATAACGTGTTTAATTTAAATAGAACACCCTATATATTTTATGAGAATCAGATGCACAATTTAATTGTCTATCAAATTGTATTATACCACTTCTTACCTATTCCTTCAAGTTTTCGTAGAAAATGCATTTTCTTATAATTAAGACCTCATTTATTTTATCAATATACCCATGGAATATTGACATTTTAGATTGTTTTTAAAACAACAAATGTACAAAATGTACAGGCTAGTAATATTATTGTTTTTAGTAAAACGATACTATTACTAGCCCATTTGTATGCAAAAAGAAAACTATTTAAATCTTTATAAAAGAGTATACCATTAATTAAATATACCACCAGTATTTCCGCCCAAATACTAATTAACTACATACTTAATTGTGTTCGTTAATAAATTATTCTAAATAAATGTGGATTGGAATCAGAAATCAATATAATAAAATAAGTTATAATAATGAACGTCTCTGTTGTTATAAATAAGCATTTGTCAAAAAATTAAATATCATTTTTAAGCTGTTACTTTTTACCACACTGTCTAATACACATACATAATTCTGTTTTTTAGTATTTGGAGCAATTATTATTAATCAACGCAAACAGTCAATTAATGTAGTTTGAATACTGGAATCATACCTATTAACTGGTCCTCTTTAACAAATATTTAAACAGTTGTTTTTTTTTATTTTTTAATGAAATAAACGAATTATATCGACAATATTAGTATCTGTACTCTTTAAAAATTTGGTACATCTTTAAAAATAAAATCTAAAATGTCAGTATTCCATGGATATATTGATAAATGAGTTCTAAATTACAAGAAAATGCATTTTCTACGGAAACTTGAGAGACAGGTAAAAAATGGTATAATACAATTTGATAGACAATTAAATTGTGCATCTGATTCTCATAAAATATATAGGGTGTTCCATTTAAATTAAACACGTTATTGCCTTTCAAAGCTAGTAATTATTTAAAATAAATTTTTAGACACTCTGTATAAGGCATTAAAGTTTTTATTATTGCAACACAATAACTGATCAATAGATAAACTTCAGTAAATATTTAGTATTAAAAACTCTGATACCCTCGGAGAAATGAAGCCTTAAAATTTATACTGCAATTTCACAAAATTGAAAATATTTCAAAAACGGTAAGGTTTAAGTGTAATAAACCTTAATCAAATTTACCTTTATTTTAATCGTAGAAACTAAAAATTTAATAATGTATAGGGTGTTCCATTTAAAAAAATACAACTTTGATATTTTTTATTTATTTGGGACACTCTGTATCTTGTAAAAATATTTTTAAATTGTAACCCTGTATATTATTTTTAATTGAACTTTCGAGGGAACTGTAACTTCTTAGGGCATATTATGTTCATAGGAACGTTTTGTTTTATTTTTATATTATGTAGAATCACTCACCGAAGTAAGATACACTATTTCTTTGACATTTTGTATACACAAAGAAGCAGCAATAAAGCAAAAAATGTAATACTATTGATTTTAATCTTAAGACGTACAGATCTGATTGTGGACCAGTTTGCTCACACCCGAAATATTTGATACGCTTCCATCCGTTGCTCTGGTTATAAATTTGGAGATAAATTCACTTTCACCATTCACATTCGTGATGATCGAAAACCAAACGCCAAAACCCGATCTATTTCCTTTTCAAACAACTTGAACCGTGTTATATGCACTGAAAGTCACCTTTTTCTCGTTCTTTTTCTTCGAACCGCCTTCCCCACTCTTTATGCTACTCTTCAGGTTATTTTTATCGTTACTGAGAAACGTTAAGTCGCTAGCACTTCCCCATTTGTTGCCCAACCTGGCAGCACTGTCACCCTTACTGAAATCCTTCAGTTTAGGCGTCAGACCAAAAATTCTATTGCCCATGTTGTTCTCTTGGTGTTTGGGCAAGCTGGTAACGTTATACGCGTAAGAAATACGTGGTTGTGTCTCAACGTTGTAAGGTTTACGTTGTAAAGTTTCCGTGCTGTGAGGTTTAGGCTTGAGACCTGTAGCGGTAAGGAACATGGCGTTGTCTTGCATGGAGGTGTTGTAAGGGTAGTCCATGGTAGTATCAATATACCTGTAGGCCATAGGTTGAAAGTTCTGAGGTGAGTTTCTAGTCTCGCTCTTACTTCGAGATGTTTTCTTTAAGATTCTCGGTACTGAATTGGTCCAAAATTTATTTTTCTCGTACAGTGGCGTTCGTGTTGGTCTATTCAATGTTGCATTGTCCTGGTGGTACCTCAGAACCTGACCAGTGGCTTTCGGTTCGATTTTCGATTTGAGGAATGAAGTGAAATTGTTTTTAGAACTGAGAATGTTGAAGTTTTGGCCAAGTTTTTTGGGGTGTGGTTCGTTAGCACTGCTTTTGACTACCAGTCGGTTTTTGCGACCAAGTCTTTGTCTAGATGGACGTTGACTCGGACGAATTGTCCGCTGAAGACATCCTCGACTTTTTCAGGTTTTGCGATGGGTGGTGGGGGTGCAGGTTTCTTTTTTCTCCGGCGTTCAGGTCTTCGAGGATTATCGGAATCTGGAACAATAAAAAATGATAATTAGCATTAGGTGGTCAGAATTGTATTCGGGAAACTTCGACAATATATTCTACCGATGAAAATAAGTAAAAAAGTTCGTGTAATTTATGTCCTAAAATACTTCGTTTCGGAGATACAGTGTATAGAAGTTTCATTTTTTTTCGAAATTTTTGAAATTAAATGATTTCTGAATTAGGGCTCGAACACACTGACGACCAGGTCGCAACAGCCAGGCCGCAGCTACCTCTAAAACCATTAAATCAAATGATATAGCGCACACTAACGTCCTGGCCGTCCGTTGGTCATTGCGACCAGAAGACTGCACGGAAATATTATTATTTTCTACCGCTTGTTGCCGGTTTTCTTCCAAATTAATAATTTTTCAGATGAAATCCCTCAAATTCAAGGCACAATATTTTATTTTCTATAAAATATAGTGTTTTAGTGTAGTTTTTGCACACGTGCAGAAAACTGGATCAAAGGTAAACTTAGATCAAATCCCTTTTTTTTTGTCAAGGGTCGATTCATACCTACTCTATTTATGGTTGGTATGATACCTGTTATTATACCTTTGAGTTTCGATGTTTAAAAAATTAAAAAAAAATTATATTTAAAGTTTTTCTACAACCACTTGTTTTTTTATTAAATTAGTTTTTTTAGTTGTATTGTAGTCATGTACAAGGAGGACAACTGTATTTTAAATATGATATTTAATTTAACGTTTTTCAAACAGGGTTCATTAGACTATATTTCTACTAGGTACATTATTTTGAAAAAAAAATTAAGAAAGTAACTTAAACATTCATAAAAATAGAAGTAATTACTGTTGTAGATTCTTCGTTATATTGTAAACATTGAAATAACTGGAAGCTAAACTTTCTACCTGCTTATATTTAGAGCCAGTGTCTGACGATCTTTTTTTACGATGGCCCTAATATATTTACTTCTAAAGTCGATAAGGGCGCCATATCAGTAGAAAAAAGAAACAGAATATCTCCCTTTTCGCGCGTACACAAGGCTTTTTGTTTGTTGTGAATAGCAACTTCGCTTTTTAGTTAACTCGGATATTTTAACATTTCTGAAACAATATTTTCTAATTGGTAAAACGTAAAAAATCGTTAGATTTGACAAATCTGTTGAAACTGGTCGTTCATCTGGCCGCAGCTAAAAACACAATACATCCGGCCAGCCGACGCGACGGCCAGGTCGTTGCGACCTGGTCGTCAGTGAGTTCGAGCCCTTACCTCGACATTTGGATGAAAACTCTTGTCTGGATGTTTTTTATTAGATATATTTTCCTAAACACCCAGGATACCAGAAAAAAACCGTGAAGAAAAACTCACATCTCATAGAGTGTATTTTTTATGGCGTGGACGCAATATTGCAATATTTAAAATTCTCTATCTCAATTTTTTAAATGCAACACCCTGTAGTAGTATTAATGTAAGTGTAATAGTATTTCTCTTTTATAGGCGCAGAATTAAGAATTAAAAAACGAACAGTTTTAAAAGTGTTCATACATTTTGAACGAAATGTATTGTACAGGGTGGTCCGAACTGTATCCCGAAAACTTGCTGCAGATAAAAATAAGTAAAAAAGTTCGTATAAATGTATGTCCTAAAATGTTTAGTTTTGGAGATACAGGGTTTAGAAATGTCATTTTTATTTTGATTTTTTCCAAATAATTTTTGAACTGGAGTCAATATTTGGATGAAAATGGGTGTCTGGGAGATTTTTGACATGAGAAATTTGGATTTTGATACCAATATGACTCCTACTTGAAGAGGGTGCCACTTACATATTTTTTAACTGGTTTGAAGAGTAATAAGTTTTCGTCCGTACCTATATGACTGAGTAAAAAGTACACATTTACTGCGTTTTTTTACGCAAAAAAGGTCTCTTGGCAAAAATCGCTACGAGTAATGGTTCTCTAGTTATTTGAAATCTAAATTATCTTCTGATATTAATACCAGTCATCATTGACATAAATTAAACATGTTGGCTAAATAGCCATTAGACTGAAATCATAAATTTGAAATGTTTTTATGCCAAAAGTTCAACAGAAACTGTTTTATCATTATTTTTTCAAAGAAAAATTTATGATTAATTTAAAAAAAAATAAAAGTTCTCAAATTTATCATTTCAGTCAAATAACTATCTACTCATATGTTGATTTTTTGTCAATAATGACATGTATTGACTATTTCCATTCTAAATATCTTGAGAAAGGTTGCTCGTAGCGATTTTTACCAAGAGAATTTTTTTACGTAAAAAATCACGGAAATGTATATTTTTCACTCAGTAGTCAGTAGTCGACAACGACAGTATATCTGTCTTGACAGCATTCTTTAACCAGGTTTACCAAAGTGGAAAATTACCTGGCGACTGGCAGAGATCGATATTTATTGCTTTACCCAAGAATACCAAAGCGAGTAAATGTGATGACTTTAGGTTTATTAGTCTGACGAGCCACATGTTAAAAATACTTTTAAAAATAATCATCAACCGAATATATGCTAAATGTGAACAGAGCATCGGAAAAGAGCAGTTTGGATTTCGTAGCGGACTAGGCACACATGAAGACCTGTTTTGCATGAGGCTACTGTGGCAAAAGTGCAGCGAATTTCGCAAGAACATCTATGTGTGCTTCATCGACTTTGAAAAAGCATTTGATCGAGTCAGACATACAGAGATCTTTCGGCATCTGAAATTGTATAACGTAGACAACTATGACATGCGCCTTTTAGTAAACTTGTACTACGATCAAACTGCTGCTGTTAGGGTCGATGAAGGAACTAAAAATGGCATCCCAATAAAACGAGGAGTAAGACAGGGGTGTGTTTTGTCACCGTTATTATTCAATTTGTATTCGGAGAACATTTTTAACGAGGCTTTATCCGGCAGAATAGAAGGCCTTAAAATTGGAGGCGAGATCATAAATAACGTAAGGTACGCAGACGACACCGCCATTGTCGCAGAAAGCATGGAAGACTTGCAAACGTTGCTAGATAGGGTTCATGAAGCTAGTTGCAAATGGGGTATTAATATAAATATCAAGAAGACGAAATGGATGTTTGTGGGTAAAATACAAATTAATCCAATCCCGATAAAAATCAGCGGACACAATATTGAACAAGTACCACATTTTAGATATTTAGGAAGCTGGCTAAATAGTGAAAATACATGTGACGAAGAAGTAAAGGCAAGAATTGAAATGGCACGTAGAACATTCAAAAAATGGAATACCACGCTCACTAATAGAAACCTGTCACTGCAAACCCGATTGCGAACACTACGTTGTTACATATGGTCCACTCTTCTTTACGGATGTGAGACATGGACGCTAAAAGTCGAGAATATAAATAAAATAGAAGCCTTTGAAATGTGGTGCTACCGGAGAATTCTTAAAATTTCTTGGACCGAACATATAAGCAACGAGGAAGTTCTTGGACAGCTGAACAAAGATCCGGAACTGTTAACCACCATCAAGGCCAGAAAGGTGAGCTACTTCGGACACATAATGCGTGGCACCAAATATTATATTCCTCGTTTGATTATTCAAGGAAAAGTCGAAGGTAGAAGATGGGTAGGTCGAAAGAAACTGTCATGGCTCAGAAATATACGGAACTGGACCGGTCTGGGGGTGGAGAGGCTGTTTCATGCAGCAGAAGATAGAGAACTCTTCCACGAAATAGTCATGGAGATCGCCAACGCCTGAAGACAGGCACGGCACCGCAAGAAGAAGAAGTCAGTAGTTTTATACAGGTAGGGACAAAAAGTTATTATAGTAAAAATGATTTAAACAGAATAAAAATAAACTCACCTAACAAATCCTCTGCGGAATTCCACACCTTCCTCAATGTACCAACTACACCATCATCTTTGACTAGATTGCTTTCCTTATTATCTACATTTAAAATATTCTCTATGGAACTGCTCCTCACCATCATCTTCTTACCTCCCACCTTATTGTTGATCGTGTTGAACTTGGCATCGTTCAACAACCTCATATCGGTGATCAGCTTACTCTCGGCCCTTTGACGCAAATTTACGTCTTTCAGCTTGTTTGATTTGGAATCTTCAACTTCAAACAGTTTCCTATTTGATATCGTCCCATCAGGTGTATCAATAGATATTATATTAGAATGACCGCTGTTCGAAGAATTCTGAGGTTTGTTATTAGCGTTCTGTTTCTTGATTTCAATGTGTGTAACACCATTGTGATCTGTTCTGTGCAGTAAGTTATATTTCGTTGCAACATTCTTACTCAAATTGTAAGCTTTCTGATTGGTCACGGCTTTCAAAGTTGTAAAATTCGTGTAGAATGTTTGTAATTTTTGAAGGCTTTCAAACCTGAACACTAGAGCCTCGCTTTTTATGACGAATATCAAAACGTCAGGGTACGTCACATCGGAATAACAAACGCAGTCGACTAGATCAAAAGTTTCCTTAGCTTGGTGTAAAAACAGTTGCTTGTCCAGGCCCTCTTTAATTGTGTTGGCATTTTTCGGAGTCAATGTACTAGTTTTCTCCGCTTCCGTTTCACTTTCTGTACCCGACCCTCCATTGGCACTATCCGTTTCAGCCAGAACAGGTTTCTGTCCAACTTTGTCAACAGCAAACGACTCATTTTCACTGCTTACTATAGAGATAGTATCGATATCGCTCTCAAATCCTTCGTCAGGTGACAGTTTTAAAGGAGTTAAAGGTTTAGGTAGTTCTAGAGGTACTTTCGATGGGTTTGGTACGTGTTCTGGAGGCCTGGAGAGTAGAACAAGGTCGAGCTGGTTGTTTTTAAGTTGGAGGTCGTAGCCTAAGTGGGTATGGCTCGGCTGACGTTGGGATTTCTCCACGATGGCCGCCAAGGAAGTGTTGGACGGTTGCCTTAGAAGTAGGATGGGCATCTTGGCAGGTCATGATCTGAAACAAAAAATATATATTAGAAATATGTCATATAATAACCTTAGTAACAAGTTTTGTGTATTCTGATTTTAGCAACTAAAGTGTCATATTACCGGGAGTAAGTGTCATATGCGCGAAAAAAAAACAATAGGAGAACTTACTACGATAAGCTCATCAATGTATGGTCAGACCGACAAGCACTTAAAACGTCATGAGCCTAAAGATCTTGTCGAGATTCGAAAAAGCTACGGTATGTAGGGTCTATATGCCAGTGGTCGGACAAAACGTATTTATTAGAAAATAAGTTAAATATGGCTTAGTATTGCCTTCTAATACTTAAAAACCCAATTCTACCAATTCTTTCGCTTTGTTCTATTACATTTTCTTTGCCTAAATTGTCACCCTAAAAACGTGAAAAATTCGGGAAAGTAACCACACGTTTGTGCTTCCTAATTTTTGCCTGTTAAAGGTGGAGGTGGGATAGTTTGTAAGATAAGTTAAACATTTTGTATTTAATTTATGAAGTACCTATAACTTTACGTGTATGCAGAATAGTCTAAACTATTATTTCAAATAACAAAAAAGATACTTTTCATAATTTTAATGTTAAATTTAGGTGTCCAATAAACTCGTATATAATTTTGTTTAAGTCCAGTTAGAAGACCAGGAAAAAGGACTCTTTTGTTTTAGCCTTTTTCTTGATAATTTATATGTAATAACTACTGTTCGTTTGAAATATAATTAAACATGAGTTTTTGGTAGTGTTTAGTTGTCGGACAGCAAAAACACAACACAAACACAGATCAAAGGAAATAAAAGCTGTCCGACCACCAGTCAACGCTTAATTTAATATATTTGGGAGGTTGGACCCTTTTTCGACGTCATATTGCAGTTTTCAGACTGATTTTTATGAGATTTTGGTTATTTTCAAACATGAATCCTAAAGTAAAAGGGAATTTTCATCAATACAACAAAGATGCATTATAAAAAACAGTCCAAACTGTCCGAGAAGAGGGAAAATTGCGTAAAACATGCAACGTCAGTACAAGATTCCAAGTCAACATGGTGTGTCAGCACAGGACCGTATTTTAAAGACAAATAACCAACGTTTGCAAACGAATGGAACCAGCACTTGTTTTAACCAGAGAAATTGAAGAGAAATGTTACCTGGATTGGAAACTAAGTCGTTTGCGTATTTCCAATAAAAAAAACAGGTGTTACTTAATACAGTTGAAAAAGTTGTATCTAAAAGAAGAAAAATTGAAAATGCTGTTTACTAATGGAAGCATGGTTTTATGAACAGCATTGGTATCGATGATCGTTTAAAGATGGCTTTTTCATATATGCAGATATCAAACAACAAAAAACGGTATATAATTAAAAAAAAGGCGTCCATTGATCCCAAAGAGACCTCGTTTGTAATACAAAAGCCAAAGAGTCTTATTGCTTTGGCTTTTGTATTACGGTATATATTGTTCAATATTAAATTTGCGCTTTAATATTATACATAATATATTAAATACAGGACTGTGCAGAATCAGCCAATCACAAAATGCCCGACTTATGGTAACTACCCGGCTGGACACTGGCAAGCACTGTCCGACTACTGGCAAAACAGCACTTTTATCACTTAAAAAAATTAATTAAAATAATTGGTAGGATTATGAAAAAAAAAGTTTTCAGTAAAAAAACTAAAGTTATTTTACTGATTTGCTTTGATTGATAATGAGTAAATTGTGATAAAAGAAGCGAACAATCGACATTTTTTTATTAAATAAGTATTATTTTTTAGATGTACTCATATAAGGCAAAGCAAAAACGATTGCAACAGCTCATGCAAGACTGTTTGAACAAGATGACGAATTGACTACGAAGATGACGAATTGACTACTGAACATGACCATGACAAGGAAGAAGGAGAAGTGGATATTATAGAAGGGCCCGAAATAAATTCTGATACAAAAAAATAAATTTCAGATTCTGAAGCGCTGAATACAGTATTGCCAGAGGATCGGCACAGCATTGTGATAGGTTAACAGCATTGTGAACTCGTTACTCTTATGTACAGTGTCACAATTTCGTATGTTTGGAGCACACACAAATGTTCTGTAATCACTTTTCTAAGGATTCACTTTTTCATTATTATTTATTTTCCTTTTTTAAACAATATTTATTAGTTTGTATTTCTACGTGTTTTATGTTATATATTTTATGTTTATCTTTGCTTTTTGTGATAAAGCAAGTCAAATAAAGAGTTTTTAATTTGATTATCATATTATTTTATGTCTTACACCACTAGTAACGCTTAAGACCTCTTGAATTTAGCAGGCAGACGGTTCATGTAAAAAATGAAGCGCGACCGCCAAAAGGTTAAAGCTTAAGTTTCCTCACGCCACTGTGTTTCTATTTTCTATTCGTTATCGGCCAATCGGATCACAGAAGCCCGTTGTTTTTCCCTCTTCTTTCTAAATCCCAGGTGCCGTATCTGCATTATCCAGCAGGTATGCGCCGATAGAATCGATTATAGGGGAACACACGACTAACTGTATCGCGTTGTTACGAATGGCACACACACAGAAGAGAAAAGATAGAAAGATAACGGAGACTTATCCATGGTCGACATACGTGAGAGAGAGAAGAAAGCAACGTGTAGATGGGGCAGAAGAGGAATGAAACGAAGATAATAGAGTTGTTTTAGCGGAGATAGTCGATAGGTCGTCGGGTAATCTCGGCAGGATCTGCGCGGGAATTCGCCGCCTTGGGTCACAATTAAAAAATAATTGTGATTTATGTCGATGCAGTGGAACTATGGTGCTATTAAGGCACTCGGCGATTGTGATATTATGGAGAAAGGCTTTTACTGTAACCGTTTGTCTATAATTTTTGATATTTTATTTTGTCTTTTACGATTCTTCAGGTGATCGTATCACTAATGCCCTATTTAGAAGTATAACTAGTGCTGTATTTTTTGTTGCAGACCTTTTTGCAATAGTCACTAAATATGTGTCTACGAAAATAATTTCAAAAATGCAGAGACAATATTGGAGTACAATCAATTTACTACAAAAATATAAACAGAAATATATACAGAATATTCCTTAACGACATGCTAATATTTAAGGAGGTGATTCTTCGACCTATTCTAAGAAAAAAAAATCATGTGGATATACAGACCGGACCACCGTAGTAGTAACATAGGCAGAACCAGACGAATTAGCGTATACCCGTCCGCCGGATAAAAAGCAGGCGAAAAAATGCGATAAAATAAAAATAGGTAGATATTATGTGATAAGAATGTTTCAGAATTTGTATTTATTCATGTTTTAATAGCCAAAACGAATACATAGATTCTCGCGATAGTTCTCGTGTAAAATTTATTTTTTAAGTAAAATAATGGATGTTTACGAAGTTCGTGAGAAAATTCAAATTCTAAAATGGTATTTCCAAAATAGGTCTTATCGGGATATACAAACAATTTTTCCACAAACTTTTGTAAACAGGCCAATTCCATCTTTACCTACTATATCAAGAGTTATTAATCATTTTGAAACACATGGGTGCGTGTCCGCACAAAAACACAAAACGCCTGATGTGTTGATTAATGAAGAACAGGAGTTAAAGCAAGTGTTTGGGGTTGTTTTGTAGGGGAGAATATGATTGGTCCATTTTTTATAAAGGGTAATTTAACTGTTGCAAAGTATTTGGACTTGTTACAGCAGCAGATTGTCGCTAGAATTCGTGAGTTATTGGGAGAAAGATTCCACAATGTCTGGTTTCAACAAGATGGTTGCCCTGCCCACAATTCCCGTATTGTTTAAGAATATTTGAACAATACTTTTCCCAACCGTTTAATTAGTGAACACGAAACTATTTTGTGGCCCGCTAGATCACCAGATCTTTCTCCCAATTATTTCTTTTTGTAGGGTTATGTAAAATTCAAAGTGTATGGTCATAATAGGGCCAATAATCTGGATGAGCTTCAAGTAAAGATATGAGAGGCTTTCCAAACTATTAGCCCTAATATGTTAGCCAATGTCAGACGGGGATTTTACGACCGCCTAGGCTTCTGTCTAGCACAAGAAGGTGGTCTTTTTGAACACTTGTTATAACTTTTTTTTTATTTAGAGTAATATTTGAGTTTTTTTTTCGGATTTAGAGAATTTAACAATTTTTTATTTTGGCTTGTAAACACACTCAAATAATAAATATTTAAGTATTTTTATTTTAAATGTTACCTTAAGTGAAAGTAAACACTTAAAATGAAAATAATAAATACTCGGTACTCCTCGCGTCGTATTCCTAGTGTCACGACCGACCCGTCCAAGCACAACTGCAACTGCGTACTGCCTGACCAACCGACTGCCGACTAGCCGGCAGTGAATCTCTAGTACGAACACAAATCGGGTAAACGTAAATTCGTCCGGCAACTTGCTATGTTACTAGTAGCCTGGTCTTCTCTGTATGTCCTAAATATCTTCACCTTTCAGATGCCGGGTCGAAAAATTTTATATTTTTTTTCAAAATATCTCTGATGTTATATTTGATACACGTCCATGCCTCAAAATACTTATTTTTTTATACAAAAAAATTGTTTTATTTTAACACAGTCTCCGCGCATCAGATTTTCAGCGATTTGACCCTGAATGTAACTGACTTTAATTTTTTTAAGCAAAAATTATGTGTCGGATTGATTATTAGTATTATTATAATATTGTTAATATTAAAGCATCATAACAAAATCCAATCATCTGATACGAATTTCGATCTAGTTTAAACCCAAGAATTCCTCGCATGCATTCGATTTAATCTAAAAAAGTGTGTATACATAATAATATTTGCAGTGAACGGTCGGCAAAAGCACACATAATCGCTTCAATTATGTTTTTTTAGTATTGAAAATACTTCTGGCCGCGTTTATATGGGACCCATCTTTGAAAAAACGACATGCTCGATGCCACACGAGTTCAATAACCTGCCTAATCAACTTGTCAACACGTAAGGCGATAGTTTAGCCGGCG